AGGAGAAAAAAAAAGAGGCTTCTGACATAAATAGTAAAATGAAGATACGTAAAACAACTTCCACTACCCCACAGAAAAGACTTCAGCACTGTAGCAGCTATAGCCTGGTTTTCAATTCACCACATGTGTACTGCAGACCACCTGCTTTCCGTGTGTCTCACATCCTCTCCCTCAAACAGGCAAACCTCTGGGAGAGTATGACAGCACTGGGCTGGCCAGTGTGCGTGACTTCCCTTCCAGAGCATGCGATCAGACCCCATTTTGGCACAGGAGCCATGCTGTGGGGTAAATCAGGCACATGCTTGCCCTATAAGGCACAGAGTGATATTGGGTCTCCCAAAAGAAAAGTTGGAAACCTGATGAGAGTAATGACTCCTCCTGGGAAAGCCAAACTACTCAAAGCTGTCACTACAGAGAGGCAAATTACATGAGACAAAAGGTGACCTTTCCCCACAGCAAAGACCATCCATCATCTTTCAATCCACCAAGCAGCCCTTGCATAGTGGTCCTTCTGAGAGAGTCCCTTGGACCTTATGTTTTCACACCTTCTCCCTCTCCATCCTCACAAGCTCTGGCAATGAAACAGGGCAGGGCAGCCTCTCCAAGGTCCTTGTCCTCTACTCCTCCCACTGCTACAACTGCCAAGGCCAGTGCTTCAGTCCTGTTTGGAAACACTACCCCAACCTCCTGCTGAGCTTCAAGGCATCATCCACCTCCCCACCTCCCCCACAGCACTCCTGGGACCCACCACACAGGCTCCTATCCCAGTACAGATTTGTAACCTGGAGTAAATTGCTACACCACCCAGTGGGTCTTAGACCCCACTTTGGTCCTGAAAGCACAAGCATCCCAGTGCCAGGAAAGTGGCAGGAAAGTCCAGAAAAGACAGAAGTTTGAGTACAGGTGTAATCACAGCCTTCCCAGACAGTGTGGAGTGTGCTCTTCTTCATAATGAATGGCTGCAGAGATGAGACAGGTACTCTGTCCAAAACTGCAGCCCTGGAAAATGATCTCCTGGAGAGTCCCACCTCTTACCACATGCTGTAAAATGGAGAGACTGGTTCAAGTGGGGCCTTTAGTAAGTGCAATTTCAAAAATGCCGGACTCTAAATAGGAGCATTTTTACTGCATATTGTGTAATTTACCCCCCCTTCACTTTCCAAGCTCACACCCTCGGTTTTTAGCAGACAGTTCATTGCTCTGAGGTTCCCCTGGCAATGTACAAAGTCCCTGCCTGGCCCTTTAATTCCCACATCATGAGAGAGCTTTCAGCATCTCTAGCCCTCCAGTTGTAATGAAATGTGATTAAAGGTGGTGCTTTTCCTGGGTAAGCCTGACTGACTGCTCTGTCCTTCATCCCCCTCCACATCAGCAGCCTCAACAGCTCTAGGAGCAGTGAGGATTACCTCTGTTTCTCTGAAAAGAGAGTTTTACAAGGAAATCTGGTGACAGGAGCTTAAACAGCAAAACTATTGCACACGTGATCCAGCACAGCCATGGGGTGGGGATTTAGCAGGTGTCAGACAGGAGGAACCCAATGGGCCTCTGATGAACACGGCCATCTCCCCCTTCCTCCCAGCTTCAACCTCTCTGTAGAGAAGGAGAGCTGAGCAGAGTAGACAGGTGAGTAGGTGGGAGCTCTGTATATGCAAGATACATCAGTAGTGGCCTAGTTTCAGCAGTGCTTGGTAGCTGGATTGCCATCCAAGTGTCTGAAAGGCTCTGTAGTCGCCTCTAGAATATATGTCTATTGAAATGACTCCTTCTCCTGGAGGATGCTGGACCAGGAATCTGAATCTGAATCCATGATTTTAGCTTAAGATATTATTTGCAAGTGTATCCTCTATGTGACAGCAAGGTCTGTATGCTATTGCATCTTCAAAACAGTAATATTTTTCTGTTTTTACAGTGCTTGTCCTGGGAGCCCAGCCCAGGGTTATTAAAAAAAGAAGCATTAGAATTTGTCCTGTAGAGATTCCCAGCTGCTTCTTTAAGCTCTGGCAGAGCAGTTTCAGAGGCCAGGCATCACTGAGAAAAATATTCACACTGGCACCAATGGGTCTGGTGCTACTTAATTTCACTGTTAATGATCCAGCTGAAAAGAAAGTATGAGACAAGAGAGTCTGTGTGAGCTCTGAACAGATCACACAGTGACCAGAAGTTTATATGGTTTGATACTGGTAAAACAGTGAAAGTAAACCACAAATAACTACAATAAAAACATCCACAAATTTTCTTCCAGGAGAAGCTGAAGAAAGTGAGGCAAAGGTCTAGCCAGAATTGTATCCATCATCAGACAGTTAGGTTGGCACCCAAGAGGTACAGCCAGAGATGCAGAAACAGAGTCTTTTTTTATGAATTCTTATTCCCTTGCATTACATCAGAAGGCATTTGTGCACAGAGTGCTCTGTGCACTTACACAGCTCCTCAGCAAGTCCATTAGGGGTTGGCTTTTGAGCCCTGATTTATGCTGATACATGCCTTTATCAGGCTCTGAGTGTTGATTATGTACCATTAGCACATCTCCGGAAACTCAGAGATACTAAAGATTACAGCTTGTGAGCTGGAGGAAACAGAAATGGTTTTCATTTGTAATTTGTCGTGGCACAGAGGGTATCAAAGACTCAGCCTATGGAGATAAAACCTACAATCACTTCTAAAACCAACAAGAGATTACTGCTTTTAGTGTAACATCCACCATCCCTAGGACCCAGAACTGCTGTAATACGAAAATATTGACAAAATTGCAGTGAGAGGGAACACATCTTAGATAAAAACAATGCTTTGTGCCCAGAGATACCTCTAAGCAATTGTCACCTGAGGGTAATCAAGGCTTCTAAGACTGCTATGAGGATATCCATCCGTGTGCATGCCATTGGTTCATTTAAAGATACGGTGCCCATAGGTAAACTGAGAGATCAAATCTAATCTCAGTGGTCTTAGGACAGATGAGTTTGAATATGATAAAACTGAACATTGCAATAGCTGCCTCGGTGTAACCTTGATAGCTGAGACTCATATTCCCTCAATGAGCAACATACTTGCCTTTTCTTCCATTTTTATAGCACTGACCTAATTTTCTTGCCTTGTATTCAAATGAGAACCAAGAACTCCTTTACAGCAGCCACTGGGGCCAATCCATAAATCCAAATCAGCCTCAGAACTCCCCATTTCTAACTATTCACTTATTTATGTCATATGAGAAGAAGTTACCTGAGCAAGACGCCATTGCCTGTTGCCATTGCCTGTCAACCCTGAGCATGCCTGCTCTGCCTCAAAATAGACAGTAAATAATGGATGAGTCCAGCTGCCCTTTGGAGCTGGCTCTACCTTCCTGAAGGTTGGGTGTTATAATAGTGAACAGTTAGGCTGTAATACTGAACACAACCCTTTCCTAGTCAGTGCCCCCATCCCCCATCTATGACATGAGAATTGCAAAGCCCTGCAGTGCAAAGTCAAACACAGTCCTGAGGGATTTGGATGCTGGAGACTCACAGATGTCTGAGTCAGGCAGGATTTGTGTTTTGTCGGTGTGAAGCCAAGCTAAAGTTGTTCTGAGAACTTTAATCTATTTTTTATTAAATTCGTAAAATTAAACTCCAGTTAACAAGAGTGCCATACAACCAGGCTCTATTTTACATTTGTAATTAGTCCCATTGACTTCAAAGAATCTGTTTTTGTATAATAGTTGCAGGGTTGGGATTTGGTTTTGCATCCAATTGATATATCATTTAGCACTTGATATCAGCCCTTCAAAGGGAACATTATTGCTTTACATTTCAAAATCACTTTGTAGTGCATTCTGTATATCTTATTATTCAAATTGGAGAGAACAACCTGCAAATTCTCACCAGCTCTAGTCATCTGTGGCTTTATTTTGTGAACTAAATGTCTGTGATGAACACAAGGCTACATTCCCCAAACTCTAGCTGATGTCAGTGCTGAAAAAGCAAAACCAGGCAGGATTAATCCCTGATAAAAATAACCCCTAAAATCATCAATTTTTATTCTCTGCCCTTTGCAGTGGAGTCAGTAGATGAGTAAATACGTCTGATTACTTGTTTTTATAACTTGTGGCATGTTCTTTTCTTAATGTAACTGGACTTCTACAAAAAAATCAAACCTGAACTGAAAGCAGGGCTCTGCTAGTTTTACATGAACAGCTCCATTGTATAATTAAAGTCATTCTCGGCCAAAAAAAAAAAAAAAAAAAAAAAAAGGTGAAATCAGATCCAGGGCCCTCTGGTGGATTGTGAGAAAATTGTTATCTTCCTTAAAATGCTGAGATGAATCGCTGCCTTACAAAGCTCAGAGTTTGCATCAACATACAACCTTTGCCCTTTAACATTAGCTTTATGAAAACAGAACTACAGATTACGACTCACAGGCAACGTTACAGGGAAGGTTTTCCAGAGTAAGGCATAAAGAACCTGTCCAAAAAGGAAAAAACAACAACCCATTCACTGTAATTTCTTTATCTGAATGCTTATCAACTCATTACAGCTGAACACCGCAGAGGAATAGATAAGAAAACAGAGGCAGATCAGAGCCAGTGAAAGATTCTGTAAGAGGAAATGAGCTTTTGACCTTCACACAGTTTGAGGAGTTGGCAAGAAAAATTCAAGCAAGTGGAATGAGTTGAATATATTCTGTGCTTTACACTTGGAAGTCTTACCAACCCTTCCCTAAGGATTACCCTGCCTTCAAGTGCTGGAAAGACCACATGTTCTCACAATCCTGTCATCTACCCCGGGCAGCAGAAGTTTTGTGAGGTCTAGGACCTCAATCAGCAAAGAAAACTGGAGATGGGCTCTAGGGGAGGGGGGGAAGTGAGATAACTGGGCTCCCAGGGCAGCGTGAGCAAGGATAACTCCAAATGGAAGGAGGATTGTGATGCTAAGAGGAAGCATTCCAGGTCAGCAGTGTCTCTGTTCAGCTGTTAGTAGAACAGGTTTCACAAGCTCTTTCTGGAAAAAATTAACCTGGAAACCACAATTGATTCCTTCCTCCATGTCATGTACAGAAGGTAAAGAAGCTTCTGTAAAAGGGTGGAATCCTGGAAAGCCTGCCTTTCCAGCCAGCGGTGATGAGATCAAAATGACATGAACACATAGTAAGTGACCATATGATTCAATATAGAGTTGAAAACTAAAAAGCTGAGAAGAGGCTGCTTGAGGTTTGACTTGTAGAAACAGGGAGGAACCATTTGTGATTCTCGGTTTTTCTGACTTCTCAGAATTTTCTTAGCATTTCCTTCTTGCAGCTGTAATAAACTCCTAGGTTATTTGCCTTTGTGCTCATTAGTGGTGAATACATGGGGAGGGGGTTTACTGCATCTTTAAATGTTCCCTGTTCTATATAAAATAAGTTTTGAAATAGTTTTGATTAATATAATCACTTCTGTGAAAGTTAAACATTTTAAATGACACTATCTCAAAATAGCGATTTGGATTCTGGATTTGCATTTCCAGCTCCCAGTTGAAGCAGTTCAGCAGAATCAGTAGGAGGTTATTCATGATTCTGAACTTATATTTTCAGTGCTGAAAGTATTGCTGTCAGGGCTTTGTCCAGCTCTGGTATTCTCAGTATTGAAAGTTACTTCCAGTGAGATCATGAAAAAGAAATGTGAGAACCTGAAGTCTTTTTTACTTTAATTATTCATCTGCTGCTCTTGGACAGAGCCCAGAATTTCAATGCTTTTAGCAATTTGATTTTGTATTAAGAAAGGGTAACTGCTTGACATCTGTTGTGTAAGTGGGCATGGTCGGATACTAAATGCTCCCAGTGCATATTTATTTAATCAAGGAATGCAAGTTTCCAAGGGGTAGATTAAAAAACATCTCTGAGAAAAGTGAAAGGAGCTTGTACTGATGTGCATGGCAACGAGTCTTAAAATGTAAAGAGTCAAAACTTTTTAATTAAAATCAGAAAACTCATTTGGAGAACTTAATTTCCCAAAAATGTCTGCTTTAACTTTGGCTTATTTTCCACGAAAACATACCATCAATGAAGATAGAATTTGTATCTTCATCTTCTCTTAAAGCTGTGTTCTAGTTCACCAAAAACATCACTGTGAAGCCATTACCTGTTTGTGTGGTAATGACACTTTCTAAAACATGTCTTGTCCCTGGTGCCACAGTGATCCACTGCAAAGGATCCAGGATGCTATTTTAAAAATGCATTAAATCTAAGCACCAGTGACTGTTCTTGTCAGAGAAAAACATTTCAACCTGTTCTTCCACCCTACTGTATCTTCCACATGTTCCAGTCTCCATACCATCATTTTCACCATTGATCTGGAAAACATGTTCCAGCAGCTCTAAACAGAAACCCACTGCTGTGTTTGTCATTCAGATGACAGGAGACCTTTCTGTGTGCCTAAGAAAGGGAAGAAGGGATTGTCGAGCATTTCCAACATTGTATTTTCCCAAAGTGAAACACAAAATTAAATGGCAGCTTAATATTAAAAAAGAAACAACCAAATAAGTCATCTTCAGAGAGAACTATTAAGCTGTTTAAAGATAAAATTGAAATTAGAAACTAATTCTGTAGTCTGCGCTGGACAATCTTTATACCTGAGATCTGATCTTTTAGGTGTTGACTTTCATGGCTAGTGCCTTAGTTTTATGAACTTTTCTGAGGCCACCTGGTCTCAGAATCTGAGGTTCTTCCATGACATTTTTAATGATGTAGCTGGAAATGCTGGTCCTGAAGCTCCTTTTGAAATCATAGCATCACAGAATGGTTTGGATTGGAAGGCACCTTAAAGATCATCCAGTTTCAAACCCCTGCCATGGGCAGGGACACCTTCCACTAGACCAGGTTGTTCAGGGTCCCTGAGAACCCTCCACATGACAAGTATGCCTCCTGCATGCTTATTCCCAGGATGCAGACTCTGCTCACACCAACAACACAGAAACCTAACAACACTTGCCTACAAGCTGAGGTGAGCAAGCAGGAATCCCCAGCCCAACATTCGTGACTTTTGACCACTATTTCCTCCTTTTCTGCAACTTTCAGAGAATCCACCTCCCTGTGTACCACACCTCCAAGGCCCTGTGGCATGGCTCATGTTGAAGAGTGGCATTCAAGACTGCCTTGTTCATTAACCAGCACATCTTGAAAGTACCTGGATTGCTGCTTTATTCAGGTTTATTTTAGACAACCCAAATGGTGAGTCGTCCATGAGTCCCTTTGAGTAAATATTGCATAACCAGTCTCAGGAAGTTTCTCAAGAAAGTAATTCTCTTTCTGCCCTTCAAATGTTTGTGTTCTCAAATCTACCTTCATCTTATAATGCAGAATTGCTTAAAACAATGATATAAGGGACTTCCTGGCTTGCCAGACAGTACTTTTCTATTTCAGGAAACAGTATCATATAAACTATTCACTGTCATTTTAAAACGAGGTAGAGTGTTCTGTCCCTCTTGTTTCTACTGAAAAGCTGTTGCAAAAACTCACTCCTCACAAATTCTTCTAATTTCCATCTTAAATTTATTCACGGGCACTTTACAGCCATTTGTTCTTGTGCCAACAGTGTACTTTAGTTTAAACAACTTTTCCCCCCTCTCTGGTGTTTCCTTTTCTGATGTATTCATAGCTTCCCAAAAGTCACTCTCTATTTTCATTTTGCTGTAGGTTTTAAACTTTGTGCAATTTGTTCAGGTTTTATGCATAACAGTTTTCTGAAACTAGCTACAGTGTCAGAGATGTGCTTTTACTATGGTTAAATTAAAAGAGACTTCATGACATAATGCCTCTGTATATGTACATCAAATAGACCATCCCTGTTTTCTTTTCAATGTGCCACTGTAATTTCATTTTCCTGCTGCTGTTCACTTAAACTCTGGTTTTCTATGTACCTACTTACATTTCTACCTCCCATTGAGAGTAAGAATATAGGGAAGAGGAAGGGCAAAGCAATTTCCAGAAGTATTGGTTTACAAGAGAGAGGTCATTTTTTAAAACTAATTTCCAGATTCCATTTCCTAGATGCTCTTCTTCTCCCCCCCCCCCCCCCCCCCCAGCTGGTGTTTGCATCCTGTTCCAGAGCTGGATCACTCACACATTGTTTTAATTGTGCCTTGAATTGCTCTTTTAGATAATGGAAATTCATTCATGGAGAGTAACTCTGATATAGATTTTTTCAGTCTAGCTCAACTCACTAACTCTTGTCCCTGTGCCCTAAAACAGTCATCTCCAGTAATCAGAATTGTACCTTCAGTCTGTGGTGTGTCTCAGACAACTGCCCACACTTGCCTAGCAGTGTCTTCAAAAGCTTTTCCAAGATGCATCAAGGAAAATGAATTCCAAAGGTCACATACCCCAGAGCTAATTAGAAACCCTCCTTGCTTTTTCCAGGTGCTGAGCTTTAAGACAAGACACAAATAAGCTGTCCAACACTCCCAGGAGCCAAAAGGGGTTGCGAAGTCTGGTCAGCCAGCAGCTGCACTACTGTGAGCCTTAGTTAACCCAACGATTTGGTTATAAAAACTGAAGACAGATAAAGGGAAAAGAGAAAGGAAATAAAGTAAGAATTACAAAGAGTCATAATGAGTCAAGCCAAAGGATTGTTCAGGATCCTGTCTCTGAGAAGATCCAGTTGCAGCTGTTTAGAGAAAGTGCACACAGGGAGACCAGGAGCAAAAATACTCTCTTTCACAAGGACTAAAAATCCTCTGCCCTCCTTCCTCAATATATCCTTGCAGATTTCCTGCAATCTTTACTGAAAGATTTCCTGAGTCAGACGTTGGAAGCACATCCTTCGTTTAACAGCCTTTGATGGAGGTATATCCATAAATTTGCCTAATCACATTTTTAATTCATTTATGCTTTCGGCTTCCATGGCATCCTGTAGCAGTGAGTTCCACAATGTAATTATAGGTTGCTTGAAGAAATACTTCCTTTTGTTTGTTCTGGACCTGCACTACAATTTCATGATGTCCCTGTATAGTAAGAAATAATGGCTATTGTTCCTTATTTACGTCTTCATGCCACTTGTGGGATATATTTTATATATTTTATATACCTCAGTGATTTAGTCATCTGCTTTCCAAGGGGAACACTTCTATTTAACCTCTCCCCATATGGAAATTATTCCATATTGCCAGTCATGCTCAGTACTCTTTTCTGACCATTATCTAGCTATATTAAAACAAAACAAAACAAAAACAAAAAAAAAAAAAAAAAAAAAAAAAAAAAAAAAAAAAAAAAAAAACCAAACCAAACCAAAAACCAAAAACAAACAAACAAACCAAACAAAAAAAACCCACAAAACTTGCCAAGGAGGAACCGGGAAGAGGTCAAACTGCTTGTATGATGTAAGGTGTGGGTACACTGGGGATTTGCTGTTGCAGTGTGATGGGTTTTTTGTCTCACTCTACAGTGGTTTCTAACTTTTTTATCTGGGGTTTTTTTTTTCTTTTCATTGCTCCCAAACATGGAACTGATATTTTTATTGAATTATCACAAAATGAGTCTGAGATCATTTTTCCTGAGATGTGATAGCTAATTTGGAGCTCATTGGTGCATATCTACTCGTGGCTGTTCCTCCTTGTGTGCAGCAGTTTGCAGTTATCAATGTGGAGTTTCAGCTGTTGTTTCACGATCCGGTTGCTTGAATTTTATGAGGTCCCTTTTGCATCTCCTTGCAGACAGCTTTTGTTTTCAGTAGCCTAATTCCACATAATTTTTAATACTTGTCACATCATTGTTCTCCACTTTCCACATCATTTATGAGTATGACAAGCAGCACAGATGCAGCACATATCCCCCCTGAACTGAGAGGGTCTGTCCATTGAACATCATTGTCCCCTCTGCCTCCTCTTTTCAGCCATCATCTCCCAGTCTTTCGCCCTGCAGCTCACTGAGTCTTGCCCCCACTGCCCTCCCTCATGCCCAAGTTGCTGATTCTTCTCACAGCACTAAGTATGTGCTCCAACACTCTGCTTTGACAGATGTTTCAGCCATTTGTGTTCTCTGGTTTTGGAGAGACTGCTCTCTGGTTTTGGAGAGACTCTGAGACTGCCTGTCTCAGACCCTGATGTTCCAGTAATGGAAATATATGGAATTATAGAATCGTTTAGATTGGAAAAACCCTTAAGAACATCGAGTCCAACTGCTAACCCAGCACTGCCAAGTCCATCACTAAATGATGCCCCCAAGTGCCACATCTGAATGTCTTTTAAATCCTGCCAGGGATGATGACCTTGCCACTGCCCTGGGCAGCCTGTGCCAGTGCTTGACAACCCTTTCCATGAAGAAAGTTGTCTTAATATCCAATCTAAACCTCTTCTGGCACAACCTGAAGCCATTTCCTCTCATCCTGGTCACTTGTTGCCTGGTAGGAGAGCCCAACCCTCACCTGGCTCCACCCTCCTGTCAGGGCAGAGAGAGCAAGAAGGTCCCCCCTGGCCATCCTTTTCTCCAGGATAAGCTCTCCCAGCTTCCTCAGCTGCTCCTCATCAGACTTGTGCTCAGACCCTTCCCCAGCTCTGTTCCCTTCTCTGGACTCACTCCAGCCCCTCAATGTCTTTCTTGTCGTGAGGGGCCCAAAACTCAACTCAGGATTTGAGATGTGGCCTCACCAGTGCCCAGCACAGGGGCACAGTCGCTGCCCTGGTCCTGCTGCCACACATGGCTGGACTGCATACAGTATGGAGAGACCACATCACATGTCCAGCAAATGAGGATACTCATCACATGAGCCCCAGACTCAGGCACAGAGGAAGCAGCTCCGTGTCTGCTAAATTGGACCCCGCTGCATTCATCCTTCTCTGATGACATGGTGAGTGACAGAACTTCTTTTGCACACAAGGGTGTGATCACCTCTCACTGATTCTGCCTAGCGATACCTCAGTCCTGTGTGAGAGGCTGGAGAACAGGGTTTGCAGCTTCGCAGGCACATCCCAACAGCTGGAGAGGCTGCCTGGATTTGTTACAACTGCCTTAGCAGGAGTCTGGCCCATCTCCCCTTCTAGTGAAACACTAGGCAAAGGGGCAACAGGATCTAAGCATCTTTTGAATCGAACTGCAACCCCAAAACTCTAGAGAATAAAAGGGTGTGTAAGCTGATGCTAAAAGAAGTTGCTGCTTTCTGCCTGGGCTCCCACCCAACTTGGACCTCTGATATCTCCTCTGGTGACGGAAAGTCTAGAGGTATTAGCAACACACAGAAAGACGAAATTGGTTTTGCCACGAATATTGCCAGGGCCAAACCTCACTGCAGTCAATGAGCAGCGAATGTTTCAACCATCAAACCAGAATTCAGGAGCGTGTTGTGCACTGTTTGCTGCCTCCCCATCCACACATCACCAGTTTCTGATCTGCCTCTCACACCATAATCTTATAAATAATCCTCAGACATACATGTCATTCAGGGAAACTAATTTTGCCATGATTTTAAGGGGAAGAGATCAAGACAGTGTGGACTGTATTTGATGCATCTGGGTAGGAAAGTCAGCATGGCCATTCCTTCCCCTGCAGCAGAAGCAGCATTTGTCTGCGTGCTCCTGTGCTGTCTCTAACTGATTTGATTGAGGCATGACTGTATTATACCATCAGTAACATCTGTAAAAACATCTGAGATGTCTTTGTTTTATTGGAAAACTGAAGACTTCACTTGATCAATGGCTGGTTTTATTATAAGATCTCATGCAGGTATTACCACTCAGCCAGTGGCAGTTCTCCCACCTAAATCCCCTTGAATTAAGTTTTGAGAGGTTTCAAATACACATTCCATCAAATACAAGGGAGATTTTGGATTCCCTCTTTCTATTACATTTTATAATTATATTAAAAAAGCAATCAAATTTCCCTGGCAAGAGAGAATGAGTCTAACTTGATCCTAGTTCAATATGCAGAGTTTCATTATCATCGCCAAATTTAACATCTTTCTCAGTCTTTCTCCTCTATTTTTTCAGCATGTCCCTAGAAATGTGAGCTAGTTTCAGAAGGGAAAAACTGCTGCCTGAGCTTGTCTTTGTTACCTCTGTGGCAGCACAGTCCTAGGTCTGTCACACTGTAGAAGCTGCTGGGGTGTTGGGTGGCCTTTTTAAAGCATCCTTTGTGGTTGACCAGTACCAAAGACAAGTAACAGTAACAAATTAATTCACCTCTGTCCTCAACTCTTGTGCTCTTGAGGCTCAGAGCTTGTCTTCCAAACATGCTAAGGCAGTCCTGAAGGCTTTATTCACTTAATTCTACCACCATCACAGTACAGTACCATACCCTCCCTCTGTGGCTTTATTCATGGGTGTCATGAGTTAGTGAATATCTTAGCATCCCATTATCTTTAAACACCTGAGTGTTTCTGAAATAAGACTTGAAGAAAAATTTTGTTCAAGTTTAGCCCTGAACTAGCATATCAGCCTCCTTCATGGCTTTCCTGATTGTTTTCAAGCATCTTAATTGATTTAAAACTGCAGCCTAAAATTTGGGAAGAAATTACTTGCAAGTATAGCATTGAATTTTTAAAATTACATGTTTCATCATAGTAAATCCAGTGTGTTGGCTACAAACAGCAGAGGGTTAAATCTCTATTTCTTCCAGCACAACTATTTATCATACTTATCTTTTCCCCCAAAATGTGATGGGGAGATGTGATACAAACTACTTACATGTATTTCCCATGAGACTATCTTACACTCACAGCCAATTGAATCTAACTAGCTAAGTTCTTTTTTATATTTTTCTCTAGATTTCTCTTTTCCTTCTATCCTTGTTTTTCATTACGTCTTTTGTTTTCTTCCTTCTACATATAAACTGTAGGAAAAGCAAATAAATCTTGGCTATGTCTCTTGACTTTTCTCCTCTTACTGTGGTTCCTCCCAGACTCCTCCTGTTCTGTTCTCCCTCAGTTTATTGTCTCACAACCATGAGTGTTTTCTACCACTCTGGTACAATGATCTTAATGATTTGTAACTCTCTGTGTTCTCTTTACCTTTTCTGTCTTTCAGGAAATCTATTGTGCTGTGTAATTCCCCTGAGCTGTAATGAAAGAGTGCTCTCATTATCTAGAAGGTATATATAAGTATATATATATATAATTCTTCAATGTATAAGTAAAGACTATATAAGTAAATATCCATCAACCCAAAGCAGTTGTCTTCAAGCAATGGAAATACAGGCACATAATACTTTTAGTGGAGAAACAGAAACTTCAGCCTAGGCCTTATCTAGAAAGCTAATTAGATTTTGAAGTAGGGAACTGGTTCATTAAAAAAAAAAAAAAAAAAAAAGAGCTGATAATTAGCATGTCTTTCCATCTTTTGCTCATCTGTTGGAATTAATTTGGTCTGTGGGCAGCACGATCAGGAAACAAGTCTCATCAGCTCTCTTCATTATATCTGCTCTCCCTCATAATCTCAGAAGGCACTTTTTCTGCTCACATGTGCGTGCTGTCAATAGCAAACCAGCCTTTGTTACTGTTGCTCTAGAGGGGCTTTATAAGGAGTTTAGTTTAGTGAAACAAATAATGTGAATCACAGCTGGCCCAAGATGTGGTCAAGAACATGATGCTGTGTTGCAACCAACATTCTG